AGTAAATCCCTACGTTATCACAATTTATTAATGCCTAGATTATATTTTGTTTCCTGAAGCATAATTACTTACCATAAAATCTGTTCCATTGTTTTTAGTTTAAAAAGCAAGTATTAGTTTTGCTTCATAACATGACTGATCAAGGGAATTGTTCTGCTGAAGAATTGTCTGCTTTCATAGACCTTAAAGGCGGATTATATATGATTCTTCATTTATAAAAGGATCCCCTTCCTCAAAATAAAATAGTTCTGTAGTTATTGTATTAATTCATTTATGATTATTATGTTTATTTTTTAAATCTACACATTTTAGATGCAAATCTTTGGTTATCTTGTTTATTAATCAGATAGTTAAGTGCTCACTGTATGTCTAGCATTGTATTAGATGGAGTATAGTATGTCCCATGTAGTATGGAACATAAGTGTGAAACATATATGCTTTTAACATTTGTTACTAAAAAGAAATCAATGATAGGAGTTCTCTTATTTCTGGAGAAGAAGTAAGAGTTGGTTGTTAGGAAAGCATGCTAATTAAAGCTAATTTCTATCATATAACTAAGAAGTTACTATGATTTATGGGAAAGACAGTTGGGCTAGAGTGAGAATTCTAGTCCTATCTCTACCACTTTCCAGATGTGTAAGCCATTTCAGATCTTTGAACCTTTGTTTCTTCATTTATCAAATGAAAGGAGTAAGCCTTCCAAAATTCTGTGTATCTATATGGGTTCATGCTCCTTTTAAAAATAAAGCTAAATGCTATTGAACAATTAGAGAACTTGCAAAGAGCTTACTGGTTTGCTTGGGTTTGACTATCAAGCTCTAGAAATCAGGCAAGAGACCAATGTGTGCTGCTGGGAGTTAGATGCAGTCAGGGGGTTAGATGCAGAGACTTCAGCCTGGGCTTTAAAGGATGGGCAGGCTTGGAGGAGTAAAGGAGATGGCCTGAGCAAAGATACATGAGGAAAGTAGTCTGGTGACTACTACAGAGCTACTAAGGAGACTAATAGGAATTGAGTGTATTAGTGAGTGAAATATTAGTGAAAATAAGTAATGACTGGATTATGGAGAACCTTAAAAAGTCAGATAAAGATGTCTGCACCTGTCATAAGAGGGAGTCAAGATAGGTTCTTTATTATTTTTTTAATTCAATTAGCCAGTATATAGGACGTCATTAGTTTCAGATGTAGTGTTCAGCAATTCATCAGTTGCATGTAACACCCAGTGCTCATTTAGATCAGTTCTTGATCTGAATTAAGAGAATTGCTTTAGTATTCCAATATAGGATAGAATGCAGAAGGGCAGGCTAGGTTAAGGGCAAGAATTTAGACAGAAATGATTGGGGCTTATTCTAAGATTGTGACATTGGGATTGGTAATTTCAAGAGACCTTTTTTAATTATGAAAAATTTCAAACACAAGAAAATTTGAAGAGTACCAAAAACACTCATATATGCCTACCACCTAGATTCAACTATCGTTAGTATTTTGCCATATTTTCTTTATTTATATGTACGTATGTAGAAATTTTTCTTTTAAGTTTTTATTTTGATACAATTTCAGACTTAAAGTTGCAAGAATAGAACAGAGAATCCCATATACTCTTCATCTAGATTCTCCAAATGTTAACCTTTCACTCCATTTGCTGTTACTATTTTACAGAATTTCATTTATCCATTTCCCTCTCCCTCCTCCATGTGCCTTCCTCTCTCTCCCTGAGCCATTGAGCGTAAATTGCAGACCTGATAGCCTTTACTCCTGAATACTTAAGTGTATATTTTCTGTTTCTCTTCAATAGCCACCATACAACTCTCAGGGTTAGGAAAGTAACAGTAATGTATTACATTATCACATCCACAGACCTCATTCCCATCTTGTCAGTTGTCTCAGTAATGTCTTCTATAAAAGAAAAATAATGTCATTATAAAAGAAAATCTTGAGTCATACAGTGTATTCACTTGTCACATGTCTTTGGTCTCCTTTAATCTGAAACTGTTTCTCAGTTCTTTGTTTATCATAATATTGACATTTTTGAAGAGCACAGTTATTTTGTAAAATGTCCCTCAGTAATAATATTGGACATCATATCAGGAGGCAACTGATGTTGAATTGTTCTGTCACTGGTAGTGTTAACTCTTTATAAATATCCTGTTACTTCTCAAATTTTATCTAGTGTTAGCATCTATGGAGGATTCTTGCTTGAATCAGTTATTACTATAATAGTTGCCAAATAGTGATTTCCTAATTCTATCATTCCCTCTACATTTGTTAGCTGGCCTTCTACCATTAGGAAGGGTTTTCTTGTGTCCTCCCTCCCTCATTCCCTTCCTTCTTTCTTTCCTTCCTTATCTATATCATTGTGAATTCATGGATTTATGTGTTATTCAGTGGATTATAACCTTTCACTATCATTATTTATTTTGATGCCCACATTCTCCCACATTTGGCCAGTGGGAGCCCCTTGTATCTTTTCAACATGAACCATTCTTTTAGCCCTTTGTTACTTTCTGACACAAAAGGTGTTCTACATTCATTTTGTGCTTTCCCACCCTTAGTTAGCACTGAAATCAACAATTTCTCCAAAGAGCTCTAGTTCTTTTTTAGTGGAGAATAGTATTTAGAAACCAAGATCTGAGTATTTGGTGTGCTTATTACTTCTAGGCCCACTCAGTAGACATTTAAGAAATAGATGTACACATATACTTATGCCCATACATATATGTGTATCTATATACAGAGTCTCACATACCTATATTTAATTTCTACATCTGCATTTGTCTATACATTCAGATCTATTAGAGTTCATACTCTAATCCTACCCTACACCACAGGATTAATTCTGTCTTCCCTATTTCCATATAGTTAATTCTGTTCTCCAACAGTAAGAAACCTGTCTCTCTTTATCTACAATATATTTATTTACTTGATCACTTTTAGAATACACAAAAAGCAGTTTCAGGGCTACTAACCAGTGCTTCTGTGGAAAACAGGTCTACATATAGATTTTTTTTTTCTTGGTTATCAAATTATTAGCCTGGAACAGTAGTTCTCAACATGGAGCAGTTTTACCCCCAGAGGGACATTTGGCAATATATGGAAACATTTTGGTTGTTACAACTCAGAGGGAGTGCTGCTGCCATCTAGTAGGTAGGGACCAGGGAAACTTCTAAACATGCTGCAATCCACAGGACAGCCCCCAGAACAAAGAATTATTCAGCCCCAAATGTCAAAAGTGCCAAGGTTAAAAAAACACAAATATACTACTAAGAAATTATCTATTGAAGGATGTTATGTATGTATGTTTTGTTTTTTTGCTAAACCGCTTGAAAATAAGATGTAGGCATCATGACACTTACTTCCTAAATACTCCTGATAATAAGGACATAATGACAAATCCAGAGGTGGGCAGCTAGGACTTTTGCAGACTCCAATGTGTGGTGTTGGAAGAGAAGTTTTGTAGTTGCTGTGACAGTTCTCCTGCCACTGGAAAATCTCTCTCTCTCTTTACATGCCTCCCCCCTTACCAAGAGACCATTTGAAGGAAGAATTGATAGGTTAACTAGAATAAATGAAACCAGAGTCAAATTTACTTTTTCCTGCAGGAAAAAGTTGGATATAGTCTGAGTATGAAAATATGTGTATGTAACATCTAAGACCTGCTGTGATCATATTGTGAAATTTTATTCTTAGCTCTTTCTTTTAAAGATTTTTTTTTTTTTTTAAGATTTTATTTATTTGAGGGCACCTGGGTGGCTCAGATGGTTAAGCGTCTGCCTTTTGCTCAGGTCATGATCCCAGGGTCCTGGGATCGAGTCCCGCATCGGGCTCCCTGCTCCTTGGGAGCCTTCTTCTCCCTCTGCCTCTCTCTCTCTATACCTCTCATGAATAAATAAATAAAATCTTTTTTAAAAAAAGATTTTATTTATTTGAGAGAGAGAAAGGGAAAGAGAGCATGAGTTGGGGGAAGGGGAGAGGGAGAGAATCTCAATCCGACTCCTCACTGAGCCTGGAGCCCGCGACAGGCTCAGTCTCACAACCCTGAGATCATGACCTGAGCCAAAATGAGGAGTTGGACGCTTAACTGATTGTGCCATTCAGGCACCCTTAAAGATTTTATTTTTAAGTAATCTCTATACCCAACATGGGGCTTGAATTTACAACCCCAAGATCAAGAGTCACGTGCTCTACCAACTGAACCAGGCGCCCCTCTTAGCTCTTTTGTAATAAAGTTGTTATGCCTGAGCTACTTGTAAACCAAAGTAATAGTCAAATAGAATGCACTAGAAGAATATGGCCTAACTGATGATATATTTATTTTAGGCAGTGTTCAATAGCAGAAGATATTAATACAGTGAAAGATGAGGGGAGTTACAAGAGAGTAAAGAAAGACATTAGGGGAGGGGGCATATTTGAGATGTAATGTTGGATCTAATTTATTTAGGTCACATTATTTAATAATTGAGCAAATATTTGTTATGTGTTTAGTGTTGGAGAAATACTGATGACGAAGTGAGCATGGTAGAGATTTCAGCCTGGTTTTTATTTTGTTCTCCACAAGGGGGAAATAACGCTAAAACACTTTTTCCTGAAGAAAAGTTTGTGTTTGTTTTGCCATTTCCAGTTAAGTTCCAAGTGAATTTTTTTCTAACTTGTTATCAAGCAGTTTCAAAATTGATGAAGAAGAATGCCGTATGCCCATTTTACTGAACGTCAAGGCTTACATAAGCTCTACATGAGTGAAATGTATAATTAGTATTTATTAATATATATTTAATAATACCATTGCCATGAATTACTAATATATATTTAGCTGTACTTGTGTTCTTTCTCCAGGGTAAAATGACTAAAATGCTTAATATAATTTGCTTCTAAATTTTATTTAACTCAGTTGTGCTGTGTTCTTTAACTATGCATGTCTAAACATGAAAGAGATGGCTAATACTTGGTTGCAGAGATTATAGTGTGATACTAACTCTTGCTTTTAAAATAAACGTATTTTTGTCAGATGACTTGCAGGGTGCACAGTCAGAAATTGAGGCAAAACAAGAAATTCAGCATCTTCGCAAGGAATTGATTGAAGCCCAGGAACTAGCTAGAGCGAGTAAACAAAAATGCTTTGAACTTCAAGGTGAGATCAAGATTACATTGATTCTTTAGGGGATGCGGAAACAATGTGACATAACTGAGTCCAGAGGCATAGTATCTTGTTCCAGATCCACAACTTTATTAGCTATGTGATCTTGGGACATTCACTTACCCTCTCTGAACATATGTTTCAGACAATATAGTGGGGAGAGTTACAGTAGCTCTACTTCCTTCACCTTGTTGATGTGAGTGAAGATCAAGAAGGACCTGTACCAGTGAAAGATCTTAACAGTTAATTACATATTAAGTGCAACAAAAGGAAAAAACAATGTATTTCAATTTCTAAGTTTTAGTTACACCTAATGTTGTTCTTCAGTGTAAGATGAGGGAAATTTATATGCCCTGTGATTTTATAGTGTATTCTTCGGTAAATGGAAACAACCAGGCAAGGTAAAGGTATAGAATCGTGAAGTTTCCCAACCACTTTCTTTTCTAGTAGTTTACTTATCCATAGTGTCATAGGCTAGTGGAGTTGGTGATATTTATTCCCTAGAGCTTACATTTCCATATCATTCACAGTAACTACCTAGTTGCAATCACTTGGTACCGTACAAAGTCTTAGAACAAGGAGAAAGTAAATAGCCTATGGAGTCCTCCTGTTCTCTAAGATGGACAACCTTCCTGATCAGGAGGAAGATTCACATCCCCAGGAGGAACTGGGAACTTCCTGTTAGTTAGTACTCACTTGGCTGTAAACATGAGGGTTTTAAGTCTGTTTTTAAAATTTAAGCTCAAAATGCTGATTAACAACTATCAAGAAGGCTCCTCATGTAAAGAATAACACATATAATCTTGGTGATATAAGGTCTAGAAAACTCTGCTACTTGATTGAATAGATTGATTACTTACTACTGTTTTGTGCTCCTAAAATCTTTAAACTTTTAACTGCTAATACTGATAATATTTACTGCTTAGCTTTTGTTTCCTTCAATAAGCTTTAGGTGAGAATTTCTTAGAAATTTCCACCCGCTCAATTCTGAACACTTCCATTAACTCACAAAATTAGATATACTGTATTTTATTTTTATTTTTAGCTCTTTTGGAAGAAGAAAGAAAAGCCTATCGAAATCAAGTTGAGGAATCCAGTAAACAAATACAGGTTCTTCAAGGTATGGAACACCCCAGGGCTATTTGGGATTATTATTGTTTGTAGTGATTCAAAAGGAATGGAAAGTAAGAGTATAGAGAGTTCCCATTTTTCATGTCTTTGGTTTGTCCCTAGAATCTGAGACTATAACTAGGCTCTTGGTGGGCTTTTTGTTTTGTTTTGTTTTAAACACAATTCCCTAGTACTCTAATAGTGGACACTTGGAGTGGGAAGAGCATGGGTGAAGACATGGGTTTGGTAAGACTCTGGGTTATATAGTGAGTTGCTACAGAGGGGGCCTTTGGACAGGATATCAATTTGAGCTACTCTGTGCATCAGCACTTTTAACTTGGTGACATTATTTCTAATGCTCATAACATACTGCATTGAGGGGCACCTGGGTGGCACAGTCGGCTAAACGTCGACTCTTTGTTTCAGCTCAGGTCCTGATCGCAGGGTTATGAGTTCAAGCCCAATGTTGGGCTCTGCACTTGATGCGGAGTCTGCTTGAGATTCTTTCTCCCTCCTTCTGCCCCTCCCACTCGTGCTCTCTCTCTTTCAAAGTAAATAAATAAAGCTTTAAAAAAACAAACAAAAAACATACTTGCATTGCAACAAAAATTATATATCACATGGAATAGAATAATAATCCCTGCAGTGCCTTCATTGGTAGAGGCTGCTCTTCATACCCACCATTTTGCTGTCTCTTTGTGTGAGCTATCACAGGTTCATTGCAGAAAAGACCAGAAAGATCCTTGCCTGCCAAGGGTTTACTTCAAATCATAGTTCTGGTACTGTTAGGCTCGAATTATGAGAGCCCTAGGGGAGATCTTTCTTTCCCATGCTATTGTAAAATTCCTAAAGCAAAATTAATTTGTCTTCATTGTCAAAGAAGGAACTAATGTTATTTTTAAATTTTAGTTTGAGATGTAGGGTGAGAAGAAATTAAATAGACAAACTCAGTTCAGAAAAAATGGGGAATCATTGTATGAGGCCTATGATATTTGCCCTAAAATATCCCAGAGAAAAAGCAGTCTTTGGTGTTTTCTTTCTTATTTTTGAATGGGACATATGAGTTATTTATATATTTATTTTTAAGAGAGCAAGAGGGAGGGAGGGAGGGAGTGAGAGCGAGCCCGGGAGTGGGAGGGAGAGAGAGAACATTAAGCAGGCTCCATGCCCAGCATGGAGACCAACACAGGGCTTGATCTCATGACCCTGGGATCATGACCTGAGCCAAAATCAAGAGTCAGACGCTTAACCAACTGAGCCACCCAGGCTCCCCTACGGACGTTTGAGTTATTTAAAAATTTAAATTTTATTATGGTCAAGTTAGAATTTCTGGGGTATATTATGTCTTTTTGAAGAGAAAATTCTTTAAACTCTTATAATTTAATGCCTTTATCCATTAGCTTATGTAAATCTGATTTCAATCTATATTTGCATTCTGTAGTGCGTATGGGCAATTTTCCCTAAAGGTTCTGTAACATAGGGCTGCCTTTTATCTTAAAGCGGTCTTATCTAGGCATCACTGAGTGCCCCCTAGTGCCAGCATGTGTGTTTTATGACGTTATCCTAAGTGTATGGTCCTGTTAATCTCCGGCCATTGTGTCTTCAGATTCTGAACTTGTTAACCTCTCAGTGCTTCCTGCAAACTGCAGAGGCCTCATATTTTTTTTAACGCTTATTTATGGAGCAGCCTTCCCCTTTCTCAGCCTTAAATTCTCTTAATTATTTTAATTATTCTTTTCTACCTAAGGAACTTTTCCTACCTATAGTTTTCTTGTGTTATAGTAACCAAGACTATTTTTCTAGTTCTGAACCAAGTATTTTATACAAATTGTTTCCAGCTCAATCCTTGAGGGCACAGGACCAGATCTGTTAAAAATACACCTCCTTGATTAGGCGTTATTCATTAATGTTGTCAATTCATTAATTCAACCAGTAATTCTTGGTTGTTTGCTAGTATTGAGGATAGATGCATGAGATGTACAGTCAGTGGAAAAGATAAACCATAGGCAAATATAAAATGTGGTGTCCAATAAAGGCAGAGTAATGGGCTAGAAAACGAGAGGGCTATTTTTAGATAAGACAGCAGAGAAAGCTTCTTTAAGGAACTGACATTTAAACTGCAAATTGAATCAAGAACATCAAAGATTTTACTAATGCATACCATCTGACCAAGCAATTCTGTGTCTAGGAATTCACTCTTAAGAAAAAAATCAGGATTGCATTATAAGCAGTACTTTTGATAGTAATTAAAAACTGAAGAGCCTAAAATGTCTAAAATAAAGGATTAGTCAAAGAAGTAACAGTGTAATTTTTTTGTTATTAAAAGATATTCATCACCAGCAGGATAGAGAACATTATATATATTACAATCCCTCCCTGTTTTTGCTTTTATATGTGTATAAAATGCATATAAAAAATCTAGAAGAATAAATTCCAAATGCTAGAAGCAACTTTCTCTGTGAGGGAGAAGTAAAAAGATCACTTTGGTTTTTTACTCTTTGTGTTTCTGTGTTTTGACATTTTCTGCATTAAACATGGATTGCTTGTACTATTTAATCAAAAACAACAAACAGCTCCTCCAGCCTGGTCTAGGCAGTAACTATAATCCCATTTGGGCAGTTCATTTATTTGTAATTGCTTTGGACAAAGAATGATGGATCAATATACTTTTGTAGCCCAACTACAGAGGTTACACATCAATATTGAGAATCTCCGGGAGGAGAAGGACAGTGAAATCACAAGCACTCGAGATGAACTGCTTAGTGCCCGAGATGAAATTTTGCTCCTTCATCAAGCAGCAGAAAAGGCTGCTTCTGAGCGGGACACTGACATTGCCTCGTTACAAGAAGAGCTTAAGAAGGTGCGAGCTGAGCTTGAGCGGTGGCGGAAAGCAGCGTCTGAATATGAGAAAGAAATCACGAGTCTGCAAAATAGTTTTCAGCTTCGATGTCAGCAGTGTGAGGATCAGCAGAGAGAGGAAGCAACAAGGCTACAAAGTGAGTGTGCATATTTTACATAAAGCTCTTAATTCTTGACAATGATAACTTTATAGCTTGCACAGAATAACGATTTGGGCTGTTTTTCTCTTTGGTAACAGTTTGGTTGTATAAAGCAATGTTTTTTTTTGGTTTTTTTGGTTTTTTTTAAAGCAATGTTTTTATATTGGGGCTATAAACATTCTTCAGGTCCACAAGTTCTACAATAAATTGAAAATTTTTACAATTTTATATTTTATTTTAATACTTCTGAATTGTTTTATAAAAGTGAAGTGGGAAGAAAATATTGCTAAAGTTCAAGGTGATGGAACTTACCTGAGGTATAGAGGCCAAATAAACAGAAACCAAAGAATAGTCATGTAAAATCTACATGTTTTTAAGGGGGGGCAAGTATGTTTTTCTTTGAAATATTTCCCTTATCCTTTGAATTATTATGGAAGTTATGTTCCTATATTAATGAATATGTTTTGGGACTATTTTAGGTGAACTAGAGAAGTTGAGAAAGGAATGGAATGTATTGGAAACCGAATGCCATTCTCTAAAAAAGGAAAATGTTTTGTTATCATCAGAACTGCAGCGGCAAGAAAAAGAATTGCACAAGTATGCAAGAACTCTTTTAGCTTCAAAATATTTCTTTATCTTAAATTTTCATCTAAATTAAATTTAAATTTGATACTTAAATACCTTTTTGAAGCAAAATGTTCAGCCAGACTTTTTGGCTATTTGACAGGTTAAGCACACTAACAATACTTCAGCGGGTTTTTTTTTTCTTTTTTTTTTTTGGAATTCCCCCATCATCCTACATGTCCTTTCCTTTTGGTATACTCAAGGAATACACATTCGTGGACTACAGCACCCCCACCAAAGCCCTAAACAAACAGCAAAGATCTATACTTAGTGATTGAATTTGTCCTATAAACTAAATGATAAAAATTTCAAATATAAGTTGTTTTTCTTTCGTGTCAGTGATTCCATCTATTAGGGTAATCAGGAAATGACTATAATAAAGAATTTATACCATTGAAAGATACAAATTCAGCTTTTGAATTTCACAGAGTTATATAAAGAGTAATAATATATAAAATCAAAAACTCTCCCAAACCAGTTATGTCTTTCTAATATCCAGTACCTTACAAGCAAACCAATGAATGCAATAAATTTATGCCAGCAAATTTAGCCGAGTCCTGTTTTCCCACCAACATTTGTTGTATAGTTTAAAATTGATTTTTTCCTTAAAAATTTGATCCATTCCATGTTTTTATTTGAACACTATGTTCTAATTCAGAATATGAAAGTAGTACATGTTTATTATTGAAGCCACTCTTTTTTTTTTCCCATTACAAAACAATCCACTTTTATTTTGGAAAATATGAAATATTTTGAAAAGGATAAAAAGCCAGTATCACCCATAATCCCAAAGTGTTGTCTGTGGCTCTTTCACATCCAAGAAAGTAAAAATAAAAATATTCTCCTCGGATACATATAGAAATGTTTATAGATATGTGTATATACAGAGCTTAGTATGCACATATATTTCCTTACTTTGTCAGCTGAGAAGGCCTAAAAGTAACAACATTCCAGTAACCAGGAGCACACTCGGCACCCAGAGCTTGGTTTCTTTCTTTTTTTTTTCCTCAGAAACTTTATTGGTTATTTTTCTTTTATTTTCTTATTTGAGAATTATTTTTCCCTTTTTTTTCTTTTTTTAATTATGTTCAGTTAGCCACTGTATAGTACATAATTAGTTTTTGATGTAGTGTTCAATGATTCATTAGTTAAGTATAACACCTGGTGCTCATCACAACACGTGCCCTCCTCAATACCCATCACCCTGTTACCCCCTCCCCCCACCCTCCTCCTCTCTGAAACCCTCAGATTGTTTCCCGGGGTCCCTAGTCTCTCATGGTTCATCTCCCTCTCTGATTTCTCCTCCTTTGAATTTCCCTCCCTTCCCCTATGGTCCTCCGTGCTATTGCTTATGTTCCACATATGAGTGAAACCATATCATAATTGTCTTTCTCTGCTTGACTGCCTTCACTTAGCATAATCCCCTCCAGTTCCATCCATGTCAATGCAAATGGTGGGTATTCATCCTTTTGATGGCTGAATAATATTCCATTGTATATATGTACCACATTTTCTTTATCCATTCATCTGTTGAAGGGCATCTCGGCTCCTTCCACAGTTTGGCTATTGTGGACATCGCTGCTATGAACATTGGGGTGCATGTGCCCCTTCTTTTCACTACATCTGTATCTTTGGGGTAAATACCTAGTAGTGTAATTGCTGGGTCGTAGGGTAGCTCTATTCTTAACATCTTGAGGAATCTCCATACTGTTTTCCAGAGTGAAGCCACTCTTAATTAATCCATTTCCCTCCCCACAGTACACCAGAAATGGGAGTCTTTACTCTCTTGTTAGCCTGTGTTTATACTCCTAAAGAGCATCAGGGTTAGCAGAAACTCAGTGAAGGTCAAGGTCAGTTCCCATAAAAACAAGCTTTAGGAGGAAACAAAGGACTAGACCCATCAGAAAATAGTAAGCCTCGTTATCTGCTTAAAACAATAAAATGGTAATAGATTATACATTTTTAAAAATCAACTAGTTGAGGGTGCCTGGGTGGCTCAGTCGTTAAGCGTCTGCCTTCAGCTCAGGTCATGATCCCGGGATTCCGGGATCGAGTCCCACATCGGGCTCCCTGCTCCACAGGGAGTCTGCTTCTCTCCCTCTCCCTCTGCCACTCCCCCTGCTTGTGCTCTCTCTCTGTCTCTCTCTCTCTCTCTGTCAAATAAATAAATAAAATCTAAAAAAAAAAAAAAATCAACTAGTTGAAGGAACAAGATGTGCTGATTTTTTCTCTGAGATGCCTTCTTATAATACCATGTAGTAACAACATTTATTGTGTCCTGTTTTTCCAGTCTTTTCATACATTAATGTGTAGTATTTTTTAAATGTTTAGAGATAATTAGTAACAAAGAGTAAACATGTTTGTAACATGTAAAATTTTGTAACAAGAATTCCAGAACCTGAATAGGACAGAATAAAGGCCCAAACACAACTGTATACACATGTGAGTGTATATGTGTGTACCAACTGATTGTGTTGACAGCACATTTGGGCAAATTGTTTGGTTTAAAATGAGTGTAAGATGATGCAGACATTCAAATTCTTCATATTTGGAATCTTAGGGGATCCATTTAGTTTGATATTCTATTAAGCAAGAAATAGTGATCTTTGATTACTAGTATTGATTATCTTACATTATTCCTGCCTTGGGATTATTGATATTTTAAAGATTTAAACTTGATCCTTCTTTTTTGAGATGTAATTAATTAGAATCTGGCAGGTTGTTAAATGCTACATTTTGAATTACTTCAGATTTGTTGAAGTGTTGAAAAGCAGCAAACTGCTTATGAGTTAGAAGCATACAGTTTAAAAATATTAGGTCCCAGAAGGGTGGAATATATTATATCCTTAGTCAAAGTTGTCTGCCTAAACTCACATAAACTATTTAAGACAAATTCTGTTTCCTAAACTTTTCTGGTTTAGTGGCACTCTAACTTTATTTGGCAAGCCTCCTCAGCATTTAAGTAGTATTTAGAAGTTAGTCTTTCTTTACAGAGTCTCCTATGCCATTTTGTATATTGGACTGACATCACACCCCTTAAGAATTTGCCTGGCATACAATCAGAATGGGATTTATACTCCATAGTTCCTTCGCTAACAATATTGAGTCTCAGTCTTATGTTCCATTCTGAGAAGCATAAAACTGTCATCTTGAAAACTTTATTCTCCTTTAGCTATTTCTGTTGTAGATGGGATCCACATTCTTTCATACAGCTACACTATGTAGGTCTTTTGTTTTTTGTTGTTTGTGATGTAGAAGGAATTGAACAAAGAATTCTATTCCTGCCTATTAAGCTATTTTCCTAGTGTGTAAATTGGATTTTTTTACATCAAGTTATGAAAGTAATTATAGAATTTAAGCCAAAGATCAGCCTCAGAAATTACTGAATTCAATCTTCTTACTTGACAATGGAGGGCACTGAGACTCTCCTTGTGTTGTTTCTGTGTAACATGGTGCCTGGCACAGATCTCCAAGCTCAGGAAATGCTTCCTCAGAGAAGGAAACTGAACCAGTTAAGTGACTTGCTCAATGTCCCACAACTGAATAGCGGCAGCACTGGGGTCTAGAACCCCGCCTCCTGGTTCTTTGTTTCATGCTTTTCCCCCAATTTGGTGTGTCTTTTCATTTGAGTAGGTTTATCTTTACTTGAATAGACAGTGGCTCCTAAGCTTTAAGTTTTTGTCCCCCATCCTATTTGTCAAATACTTAAACTAAATAAGAAAATAGTTGAAATATGTGCTGATTTCCTGGGGAAGCCCCACTCTGAATCTTTTTATGAAACAATTAATCTAATGTGATATAACAAAATATACAGTTAGTCATCTACTTCCACTTTTAAGATTTCAGTCTCTGTGCATATTTCAATCTGAAAATAGAACACAGCTTTAAACATGCAATTTTTTAGTATTTTAATGCTTTAATTTATTGAACATATCTTATTCTCTTTTATGTATTTTTCCCTCCTCTGTAATTTACTCCATCGCTCCTAGTGAAATGTATAAGAAATTAGACTTCCTGCTATGTCTAGTTTCTACATGAATTGAATAACTGTCAATATTTATGTTGCAGTTCTCAGAAGCAGAGTTTAGAGCTTACCAGTGATCTCAGCATCCTTCAGATGACTAGAAAACAGCTTGAGAATCAAGTGGGATCCTTGAAAGAACAGCATCTTCGGGATTCAGCTGATTTAAAAACTCTTCTCAGTAAGGCTGAAAACCAAGCAAAGGATGTACAGAAAGAGGTAAAGCGAAAAGACATTATGAGCCCAATTATGGTTGGACTTAAAGCCAAAAGCAAATCAGATATTCATGCTAGTTAGAAATAAAGGGAAGCAGAAGTCACATTACCTGTCACAAAGTTGATACTTGGAGCATCTCTGCTTGATGATTTCTAGCTATGTATCATGGTCCATATATAGAGAATTCATCAGTAGGATTTGGTCTCAAAAATATAAATATACAAAATTACATTAAAATTTTTTCTCTACCAGTTAGTTGACCTATATGAGAAGTCCTTTGTATACCAGATTACTCAATTCATTGTTTATCTTTCAAAGACAGTATCATATTTAACTTAGAATACTTTCAAAAAGCAAACTGGGGCCACACCATAATGCTGTCCAAAGCCCTCAGTAACACTGGCCTGAAATGTAAAATTTACCTCATAGCCAGCCAGCCAAACACAAGTTCTGTGACCTTTTACTTTCTTCTCCTGCACTCCCACCCCATTTTCCCCTTCTTCTCCCCTTCTTCACAAATATGCATGCTCACTTTTCATGTCATTTTGCTTAAAACCTTGACTTGGGTGGCTTTTAAAAAAAACCATGTTAAAAATGGTGAGGGCTGATTTTGGAGTAGAGACCCACCCAGCTTCTTTCTGAGCAAAACCTTGAAGTTGACAACGGGGCAAGGAGAGCTGCGTTCAGTCCTGCTGCCTTATCCTACTCCCTGCATTGAGTCCTGGCCAGCTCAGGGGACAGAGAAGGCTGGTGCATCTTGACCTTCTGGTCGGGGCCCATCCCAGTTGTAGACTCTCTTAAATGAAGGATTCATTATACATAGAAGGAAGTTGAAGACAACTTTTTGTCTTTAATAACAAATTTCCCCAAAATTATTTTTAGAAAATCTGTTCAGTCAATGCAGTTTTTCTTTGCACTTCCCTTTCCTTGTAGTATCCTGAACGTGGACATGATTATTGTTCTTCTGTCTTCATGTTTGTTCTTAACGAAAGAAAAAAAAAAAAAAACCTGTAACATTTTTTATTTATGTGTGGCCATATTGATTTTGTAATATGTTCGTTTCTATCTTCTTGCTAAGGATATGCGTTCTGGGAGCAATCTCATTTTATTTAGTTGGACCACAAATTTTGTGCCAAAGTAAATATCCTAGTATTTAATACTGTAAGCACTTTGTGCCCTTCCAGTCCGTATGCCATATTTCTTTCAAAATCTGGGAAGAATGCTGTGGTTGGAAGATGATTCTGTTGTATGTTACTCTGAATGCATTGGCCGTTTTGTTGCATTATTTGTTTGCCTGTTTTTGGTCACTGAGCAATCAGTGAGAAACGCTTTAACTGCTTCCACAAATGGGCAGTGGCATGTTGTCACAGCGTCTAAATTGTTGATAGCTTTGGATTGCATTAAATGCAGCACATTTAAAAATATGTGTGAACTTGTCAATATGTTTCTTTTCTACTTTCTTGTTCAGTGTTTTCCATTGTGAAATGATGTGTAGTCATCACACTCCTTTGTAATGTAAGATTGCTTCTCTTTCTGTTTGTCCTGATGTTAACTATTGGATACTAGTCTGTAACTAAAATGTTCTTTAATGAGATTCTTATATCTGTGTAATCCACTGCAAATGAATTACTACCTTTTATTAATGCACATATATTCTCTTTCAACATTTCCCCTTTGTTCTCCTTTCTCTCATAGAATCATGCTTAATGTGCACAGTATCATGTATCTTCAGCACTGTAACAGGCTAAAATATTACAAGCTAAGCAAGCCAGATATGATTATTTTTATGAAGAAGAACCAAAGGTGTTGGTAATATTGTGTGGTATTTTCCTCTTAATCAGAACTGAGCTCCTTTCTCACCTTCGAGTTAGAAAGCAAGATGGAGCAAAATTGCTATCCAAGCCAGGTGTGAAACTAAGGCTGCAGAAGGTGACCTTTTGTTCCAACAATTAAATTTTATATGTATGGCAACTTGTATTTGAACATTTAACCAAAAAAAAGTACATGAGAAAGTAAATTTTAATCCTCAAGTATTAAGAGAAAAATAATGGTATATCACCTTTATATCTGACTTAAGAAAAGCATCTTTATACTTTAGTAGGTATATCTATAATTTAAGAATTCATAAAACATTGGTACACAGTCCATGGTGCAAAGACTGACTCAGGAAAGCTGTCTGGCTTCACCACCTTGCTGTGGGGCCAGAGCCCCTCCCACCCTGCTCACAGGCTGAAGGTAAACAGCAGGCTCTTCCTGACTGAGCTGTCTTCCTGTCACTCTGCTTCACAGCCACTGGAACAGAGAAATGATTAAGTGCTTTGGTGTAAAGGGCAGGCTGGATGTAAGAATAGTGGAAAAGGAAAGTAAGGGAGAATTTAGGTCAGCAAAGCAGTTTTCACTTACCCTTTATTAGTCACTGTTAAGAATCAGATCACTGAGAATTGATTATGTTCTAAGAGACTAGTCTAGGCACACTGAATTTGTTTTGGCAGCCTGCTGGCAACCTTCTGCCTTCTGGAAGGAAGTCCACAGACCCCAGAAAAAAAGCTGTCGTAAAGTCCATGAATCTTATTCCATAGTTCATTGTCTGACATACTACCCAGACTTGTTCTGGGAACACTGTTAGGTAACAGGGAATTCCTTTCACATTTTACCTCCCTCTCAGTACCCGTATCTTTCTTCCCACTTACTGGTGGTCTTTCTGCTGATGCTAATCCCCCTGCTCCCACCTCTTCTGATTAATGTTTTTATACATTTGCATCCTCCTTAGTACTTCTCTTTGGAGTACATAATGATGAGCTCCTAATTGATCTTTCCAGAGTATTTGCATTATTCAGAAGCACCACGTAAAGGTGTCCTCTACTGAGAAATTTCTTGGAGATAGACTGAAAGAGGAAAAACCTTTGTGGTATGCTGGTCCCATGGTATATTTATATTATATTCAGTCCTTGTCTTTCTTCCTTCTAAAACCTTCAGAGGTGGCAGAGTGGGGCACTGGAGGCTGAGACAGAGGCATAACCAACGGCAGAACAGTTTTTGCTCTTTGACTGAGAGCCCAGCTTGCATGTAAGATGCAATATCTAGAAATAGAACCAGTCAGAATTCCTGCCTCCTCAGCACTTAGAGGCAAGCCATACTATGTCTTGCATTGACCTCACCTGTATTCAAAGGAGAGCTTGTCTGTCTGAACGTCAGATTATATTCAGTGAACAGTTTTTCAGAGCAGGAAGTTTCATGTTTCACTCTAGAAAAATATTTGTCAGGAACAAATTCGTAAAAATTATTTACTGATGCTTATAAGTTTTAGGTCGAAAAATAGAAATGTCCCAATCATAGTGGTTAGTCCCTTAGATACATTTCTTTACATCATTTGCCTAGAAATTCATTTATCTGGAACACTTTACTACCCAGTGATGCCTGGGTGAAGAAAAGCCTGATGGGAGTTAGTTAGTACTTCTTACTTTAGGACTAAAATAGCTTGGCGGACATTGGTTACCAGGATATAAACTCAGACTTCATAACCTTGCCATTTAATTAGCTTACAAAGAAGATTTTCTGTACTTGCTTTTCTTTTCTCAGTTTGAAAATTATTTTACTTTTCTCCTCTAACTCACTCAATGGAAAGAGTGACCCTTTATATTAGAAACAGATGACACAATGGTGATTTCTCTTATTTTTTTTTTTTAAACTCCAGGACCAGAAAGTTCTTACATAGAATAAAGTTAACATTAAAGACTTCCTATTATTAGTACAAATGATTCTTACAAAAACGCTTGACTTTGGTGTTGCAGGTGGCTAAATAAGGTCTGGTATTAAGCCTGACTAGAACCATCACTTCATACCCATTTTAAGTTGAGTCTGCACACTCTTTTTTCTTTGCCTTTAGTATGAAAAGACACAGACTGTACTCTCAGAACTGAAGTTGAAGTTTGAAATGACTGAGCAGGAAAAACAATCAATCACAGATGAGCTCAAACAATGTAAAGACAACCTGAAGCTGCTCCGAGAGAAAGGAAATAATGTAAGTCTTTGCAAACTTGGCTTAGCTTTGACTGAGAGGCAGGTGAGAGCCCTGAAATGGATTTTTTCAGAGGACTTTATTGCTGATTTGAGAAATTAAGGCCTGTAGTACATGAACTGAGCTTTTCGTTACGAAATTCCATGATGGAATCATTGTGCTGTGAAATTTCTGAGTAAGAATTTGCCCCTTTAACTTGTATCCCTAGAAGAGCCTGAGCACTGCCTGGAGGAAGAGCCTTGTTTGCAAGAAAATAATTTACCTAAGAACTGTCAGATTTTCCCAGATGAATCTGAAGTTCTGTCACTAAGCCATCGTCTGGCACTTCATTTCTCCTGCTCAGAAATGAAACACTAAACCACTAGGGACCCACCTAAGAAAGAGTAGTACACGTTGACTCCTGAACATTTGGCTGTATCAAAAATGGAAACTTAATTATGGTTTTCATTTTATACTAATAATGTTCTCACTAAGGCATATTCCTAAAAAGCTTAGTGTCTTTTTGACCTCCTATAAATATTTGGGAATATTTGTTGAGTTTCTGTAGGGCTGTGTGTGTGTGTGTGTGTGTGTGTGTGAGTGAAATTGGAACATTTTCATATAAATTGAGTTTACTATTTGTTTTTCATTTATTAGAAAGGCAGATGGTCTTTAAAAAGATGTTATACTAAATAAGTGTTGTGTTCTACGTTTTGGTGATCATTGCCTTTGTGGGCCCTAACTGATGGCTGTTCAGTGTAGTTGGTTGTGCTCTGACTTATTTCAAATCCCTGTCATGGCTTGGACACTGCAGTGGCATAAGCCAATCTCTTCCTACAGAGGAAAGCACTCTGCTTGACTTTGCCGCACAAGTACAAAAGAGTGATGTTGCATGGCCATCCAGTTACACAGTTGCACACAGAATGCTCATGAGTTGTGTCCAACTGTCCTTCACTAAAGAAAGTCTTAGTTTTTTAGAAAAGGAAGGCTTGTTGCTTAGGTGGAAGCCCTTCAGAAGTTGATAAATTGGGTATGGAGGCTTTATGCTATAAGCAAAATTGATTGTATTTATTTTGAAAATGTAGATTACAGAACTCTTCTGAAATCAGATCGTAATGGTTTGGTTACTTCTCTCTTTTGTGTTAATCATATCTGTCTGAGTATGGAATTTCAGTCCACCTTCTACTAAATTAACCTATGAAGACATCTAGCATAATCTGTACTATTAGGGCCTTTCAAAAGTAACCTGGCTATTATTATTTATAGTTGTACCAATAATTGACCTTAAAGGTGAATTTCCTTTTTCTATGGTATTAGACTTAAGGTACTAAATTTTTCTCTGTAATAAAACTCATTGTAGTAACTCCTTCCAATTTTAAAAAATTAATTATATTCTGGTAACATAACTAAAAGCCCTGAGACTCAGCTGCCTGTCTTTATATATCAAATGTTTATCACACATTGTGTCAGATCTCTTGCTTGGTTTAGGAAGCAGGTATCACAAGGCATTTTATTTTTAAGCTTGAAAGCAGTACCATCTCAGGCAAGAGAGTTTTGGTTTAAAAAAAGGTTTCAGTGGAGGGATAAAATAAACTTTAGCCATTTCCAAGGGACTACATTATCAAGTAATGGATTCCAGCTATGGAACAAAAGTAATGTAAGGTCAAGCAGAGCATCAGTGGTGAAGTGTTGCTGTTGCAATGTCTTAAAAGTGCTACATTTCATTAGGGGATTAGGGGCACCCACATTGTCCACTGCCTCCAGCCGTCCCTTTTAAACTGGTAGTTACATACCACAGTCCCATCATTCTGGATTGTATTAGATGTCTTTAAAATGTTTGAATCAGTGCAAAACCTGAGTGCTATTACTTCTGTTACCTCAGTCTTCTTACCCTCCTTCCCACCCCCCTGGGGTCCAAATCATCTTATCTGATTTTTTTTTATAGCATAAAATGATTTTAATATCCCTTCCCTTCTTTAGCCTTCCATATTACAACCCGTCCCAGCCGTATTCATCGGCCTATTCCTGGCTTTCCTGTTTTGGTGTTTCGGTCCATTGTGGTAGAGAAAGGTACAAGCACTACTGTTGAGTCCTCGTCTGTTTGTCCCCGTCACCTGTTTGTGCCATATTTGTAATATAGTGCATGGCAAAACCACACAGGTATTTCGTTACCTGAAGCAAACCCTTCATTTAGTATGCCATGTATTGTGTCATACGAATGAATTGAACAATCAACTAATCACATAACATTTTGTCTTGTTTCCTTTGTAGTGCTGCTAACCATGAATTAATTCCAACCTAATCAGTTGTTAATGTGCTGCCTTTAACTGAGTCTTTGTCTCTAGCAAACTGGAGTAAACTAAGAATTGCTGCAATATTAGTACCCCCCTCCCAATTACATGTTTAATCAGATTTGAATGAGAAATGAAGCGTTTGCCTCTTTGAAGTTTTCAGCCAGCTTTCTTCAACTCCTCCTCTTCCTCTTCTTTTCCATAGTGTAGAGCTTCTTTTTTCAACCCTTCCCCTACATTTACACTGTGGCTATGAAGATGAAAAAGGATGAGATTAGCATAATGGGCCATTGGCTCACAATCTCAACCTCAATGTGCATTTACTTATGAGAGTATAAACCTATCCCATATCTCTCTGAGCCTTGATCTGCAACATCGCAATATTTCTTTAAAAGCCAGTTTTCTAAATAAGACTCTCAGTACACTAGTGAAAATAAAGCTATCATCCAGAGCACGTTGATTTTATAATGCCCTCTGAAAGTTAACAGCGAATCGCCCGCCCATGCTTGCCTGCAACAGGCATGCATGTCAGTAGAACATATGAGATAATCCCATGACATTACTACATTGGACATGGTCTTTACCAAAAGTATCAAAGAGGCAAGGTCCTAATAGCATTTCTCTATCTTAAACCCCATCTGATCTTGTCTTCTGTGGTTTCACATTAGAGAATCAAAGCTTAGGCCATTTTCTTTGTTACCTTACCCACCAGCTCCTTGTGTAAAACTACCCCAACATACAAATCTGGTTTTTATCAAGAAATAAACATTTTATGCAGACATGTATTCCAGGCATCCGTGTACATCAGTTAGTTGTAATGTATGGATACTGGAGTAAGTAAAGCAGGCTAAGCCCACAGGGTTTCTTAGAAGTCACTATTAGGTTTCAACTGTAACAAAATTGAAAACTGCCCAAGACTTTCCTGAGCTGTATGAGGCTTCCACACAACCATCCTCGAAAAGTGTTCCTGCTGTCATGGCTCTCCTCACACCTGCACTCCCTCACCTTTCTTTCCTTTCTTTTTAAAATGTATTCTTATGCAAAGACAAGGTTTTTCTAATATTCTGTTAAATATTCAGGACTCTCTGGAACCAAGGGGTTAATAGGTATGAAAAGAGAGGGAAGAATGTGATATTGACTCTTGGTTTCTTTCCACACAGAAACCCTGGCCCTGGATGCCCATGTTGGCTGCCCTGGTTGCGGTGACAGCCATCGTGCTGTACGTGCCAGGTCTGGCCAGAGCTTCTCCATGAGAGCGTTTCTTGAGTCCGTACACCGTCCTCCCTTTAGAAGCTGGCATCACACTCATGCTGGGGACAAACAGAACCATTTTCTTCCTTTTTACCTCTTAAGACAGCAGAAGTGCAAGAATACAGCTGTAGGGTCATTGCTTTAAATTATATAAAATGTATCTATCTATAAAGAGGATATAAAATTGTGACTTTATTCTACTGTAAGCAATAATTTGCTTGCAATTTTTCATGTAATTTTTAAATTAGTATGTTGAGATTCTGAATATTATGGTGGCCTAAAGTAGGCTTCTTGGTACACCAAATTATTTATAACATTAAATTTATGGGTATTTTACTCTGAATTCTAAAGGCCAGATAATTCATTTTTCTGATTCGATAACTACCCAAACCAAACAACCAATACATACATGGGAAGAGAGGCCCTGTGTGCTCAGTGCCTATCAGTTTGAAATATATACACATATATATATATTTTTTACATATTTACGCCATTTTTACTTGTTATAAAACCACTGAGCTATTGGGAACAAGACTTAGAGACAACTATTTGCGTGGACTTTTCTTTCTTTCTTTCTTTCTTTCTTTCTTTCTTTCTTTCTTTCTTTCTTTCTTTCTTTTAAGGAGAAATACACTTGGAAAATATTCTGTTCTAGTGATAATTTGGGGAATATGTGCACGCTTGTTCAGCCTTAATGTGACTTGACGATGTGGAGGACATCAACTTTGAAAAACTTTCCATGAGAGTGTGTATTTTCTTGAGCAAACTGAAGTATTTCTGGGAGCAAAAACAGTAATTCTACAATTTCAGTGCAGTAAACCAAACTGTTGAGTCAATTGGAATGTAATTTATTAAACCTCATGTATTTAAAGAGATATTTTCTTTAAAAGCCAAGTTACTTTCTCATATACAGCATTTTAGGAAGCATGATTTTTTTTTCTATCATCTCTTCCTCCAAGCATGTTTAATTGAAGAAAGAATTAATATCTCTTTAGATAAGCTTTTACTGACTTAATTTGGTTATGATATTTCAAAGCTAATTCATGTTCAAGGTGAGCTGTTGTTACCTACCAACAGATTTCCTGGTCGGGTATGCAAATGGTTATTTTCTTTTTACTGTTGTTAATTGGGACTTTCTGTTTATGAGAAGCATTATTCCCAAGATTAATAGTGTTCCATGCACAGTGAAGCACCTAAGCACTGCTTGATGTTATAAATTTAAAACACAGAAGTGAAAGTTTAGCTATGGTTTTGTGCGGCACCACAGTTATGTCAATAAAATTTATTTAGGTCATAGAATATCCTAAAGTATCACATAGTTAAATTTTTCAGTCAATGAAGACTGGGAGGGAATGTCAGTGAATTGGCTTGAATGTTCTGTGGCAATCCACAGGCCTAGCCAAATGTTGAAATAGAAGTTTAGGATATAATTTGCCTTGTGATGTTTGGCAGTCGTTGTTTATACTTTAAAGGTTATATTTTAAGCTATTTGGGATTTGCTGTTGGGAGGATCACTAGATTCATGGAGGAATTAGTCACAAATGACTTGTAGAAAATGCTGTCATATAGTTCATTTCATCATTTTCTGTTGCAGGAAGCCACTCCACCACAGAATGCTAATATGCCAGTGGTACCCAGTACCTCTTGTATATAGGTTATTGCAAATATTGTTCTGAAATGCTTAACTTCAGAATTACATTTTTTAAAGTAAATAATTGTTTTAAATCTATTTTGTAAAGATATAAAGTACAATAGAATTTCTGGAGTACAGATTAAACTATTTGCACTAACACACGTGATGTGCATGATTTAATAAAATAACTTTACTCTCCCTATGCATTTTTGAGTTGGGTATCATTGAAATTCTTAGTGTTGACTTTACTATTAGATTGTTAATAATCTTTTCTTGAAATGACTCCTAATGCAACATAATATATATTTGGTGTTCTTCAGGGTTTACTGAGCTGTTTCCTTCAAGTTTTATTAGCCTTTTATTTAACTTACTGCTCTAATTTTTTTCCCCTTTTACGATGGTTATTGTTAAAATATGACTCACTTGCCAGACAAGTCTCTTTAAAAGTAAAGTCTAGTATCAATATTTACTTTATTCAAATTGAATTAATGGGTTTTTGTAGTTACTGCCGTTTTTCTTAAGAATATAAATGAGCCGGGCGCCTGGGTGGCTCAGTTGGTTAAGCGACTGCCTTCGGCTCAGGTCATGGTCCTGGAGTCCCGGGATCGAGTCCCGCATCGGGCTCCCTGCTC